GGCCAAATTACCTTCTTCACTAACAGCATCGTCACGAATGTCAATATGATTGCCCATCTACCACTATTATCATCACATCATCTCATCATTCACATTTCCAAAAAACAATAACATCATGCCATTATAGAAAGCAAAAATAAGAGCTTCCGTAACCCACACAGCTATCAATGAGAAACAAACAAGCACAGGCTACCTTCTCCGAACTCGACAAGAGAAATACATGCCATACCGTGATTCATCATTTCTAACGACACATATTCTCAATAATTATGCCGACGTTAATAAAGAAAACTCAATCAAGTCTGCTCCTCGAAATTCACCACTAATCAGGAAACATCTTACCCAAACAATGTGAAAAGAATAACATATATGCCATTTCAAACCCCATGGTAAAATTCCCACAGCTAAATCGGTCGATGACACTCTTTATCTGCGAAGAAACGCATCAAAACTCGAACAATCGAAAAAACACGGATAAATTATCTCTATTATTCTTTTGAATCGTCTAACCGATATTGAATTACGAGGACTCGCATTCCACTAACTTGCTTGTGATTCGAATTCAGCTCATTGGAACAGTTACGAACACAAAGCCATCTGAACACTTCCTCAACAGGCAAGAAACACATAACGCTTCATACCGAATCATCTGAATAGTTACAAAAAACAAAACTACCTGATGAGATCCTTAAGCAAGGTCGAAACGCGTCGTAGTATGCTATAAAACACACCCACACCCACCCACACCCACACCCTCACCCTAGTTTAGTGTTCGATGGGAAGATATGTCGCGCCCTTAGCTTTAATTACTTTTTAATATTTCTGTTAAAATCACGAAAGCTTTTTTCATTCAACACAACTAGAATGAAAGCCGCAGATCTTGTTTCGCATGAATCTTGAATATTGCCACTGAGATTTTCAATACTTTCTACCAGCTTTACTATTGCATAAGAAGTCTAAAAAACAACAAAACATCTTTGGCAAATATTCGAATGGTTCATCCTACAGTTGAAACAATATGGTGCTGCTCTTCTTTGACCTATGGTGTCTCAGTGCAGTGTTTAGTTATCGTTCGATTGAGAGATATACCTCTTCATTCGCGTACAACACCACCGTTCATCTGACCCCAACTAATTCAAATGTACTTCGTATTTAAAAATCACATTGAAATCAATACGCAATGCAATATTCAGTCAAAACATCTCGATATTTTCTATAAATTGATTGTTAATACCTCATTTTTTTAATCTAAAAGAACACCTGCTATGTATCTACTCATTTTATTGACTGTAAAACTATCTCTTAAGCAATCATCCTTCTTCAAACAAACGTAGGAGAAGAAATTGAGGTATAAAATCATGTGCAAATTTGGGCATTCTTTAGTTTGAAAAGAAAGTATTTTTTATATTCGTCGGAAAAGGTAAGTGGATACATTTGTAGTCAACATATTAAGATTTGCGGATGTTCATCGTATTGCAGAGAAAATCAAGAATGTTCAGAGTGATGCTGCTCCTGTTGATCGTCTGCTCAAATCTACCGAGCACAAGTAAGAAAACATTCTCCAGAATCGATATTGTACTCAGGGTGTTAAAAGGGCAAAAAACCGTCCTCCTAGAGTTTTCGTCATGAAACAAGGGGCACGCAAAAGAAGTGGAATCGGCCCATTCTTGAATTTTTGCTTTGTTGTGTCATCTGATATATAGTGTTTACATATGATGCCTTTTTTGAATTTCTGAAAATGTTACAGATATAGGAGATATGGAAGGTATAGCATGAGGGTGTGGGCATCACAAAGGATGGGAAAACTCTCACAAGAGTGCAGCAGTAAGCGTCGGTGCCGCGAAGGTTGCTCAAAAACAGGACATGGTGCAATCATCTTCAATGCCCCCAATGATAGCGAATTGACCCTCAAGTTGAGCCTATAGCTGTGAATTTTTTTCTGAAAAGTTAAGAGTTCTATGAAATATTTGGATAGTGTTTTCATCGGTATGTCAGGTGAACACTTGCATCGCTTGGCAGTAGCTGTGCATCACTTGTTAGTAGTTGGTCGCATTGATTGATATTCATGTACAATGGATGTATTCGTCTTCATCTACTTCTAGCGGCTTTTACACCTACACCCATGTGGATGCGTGGGTTATGGTGCGTTGCTCAGTATACTGAATCCTCTCAAACCTATACACAAATTGGACAAGCATTCTTTTACAACAATGGAACCATCACTCACAATTTTCTCGATAATCTGGCATTCACTCAGGTAAATATGACAACCATTCACTCAGGTAAATATGCCAACCATTCTCTCAATAATCTCGCTCGATCTTTTTAGGTGACTCATTTTCTGACGATCGACAATACTGATGAGACCGATGGAATCTATCAAGTCTACACAAACACGACGCAAGGTAAGTGTGAAATACAAGTCTAAACTCGAAATCAAACTTTTGCATATTGATCAGGTCCTCCAGAATATGTCAATAAAGCTTCGTGTTTCTGGTACCGTCAAATGTCCAATGGAGATGTCGCATCGGGACGTCAGTCGAATGGTACCTGTACACGCACTTTCGAATTAGATACTACATCCACTGCTATCCGATACACGCGCAATCCTTCGACATGCCACTTCATCGATGATGAAGATACAAATCTCGTTCTCTCGGATACGTCATTTGAAAAAAATCAGATACTTGCATTAGATCGCCAGCTACCTTTGGCAAAACGAAGAGGCATCGTTTTCTATGGCAGTTCATCGATTCGTCTATGGTCAAATTTATCATCGGATTTTCCCTATTACACTGTCTTGAATCGAGGTTTCGGAGGTTCAGCATTAACACAGTGTTTGAGAGAATGGAAACGGATCGTTTATCCACTGGAGCCAAGTGTGATTATTCTCTATGCCGGCGAAAACGATATTGCTGCTGGTAATTCACCCTCGAATATACAATCTGCTTTTCGTCGGCTCATTCCAGCCATCCGTCGTTTCTATCCAAATATACCTATCGGTTACATTTCAGTGAAACCGAGTCCGTATCGGATCGATAAGATATCGAAATTGAACGAAACGAACATTCGTATTCAAGGCGATATCAAACTGCTCTTTCCAGATGTTACTTTCATTAATATTTGGCCACAGATGCTAACGACAGACGGGCAACCACGGCGGGAATTATTCGGATCCGACACGTTACATATGAATGCAAAAGGCTATGCGATCTGGGCGAAAGCAGTTAATAATTATTTGAGCACAGTGTGATCGTGCATTCTTTGCATGTCGAATATCGAATGAATTCGTTTATAAAAAGTTGGAAATAAAAACTTGCCTTAATAGGATGTGGGTGCACTGTAAAAAAAGCGTAGACTAATAAACGCTTGCCCTATCTATAAATATTCATAAACCCTTAAAGGGTTTATGAAACGAAGGGTATATGAAAAAAAAATGATACAAGAAAAAAAAGGATTTATTAATCTGAAATTTAGGGAGAAGGGTATATGATTGTATCTCCAAGGGTATTTTAATATGCGGTTTCGAGAAAAGGGTTTACTACTTTCGTACTAAGGGTATTTTATTCTACGGTTTTAATAAAAGGGTTTATTACTTCCTTAAAAGGGTATTTTATTCTACGTTGAAGGATTTATTGTTCTACTCCATCGTCAAGAGGGTTTTTTATTCTTCGTTCAAAAGATTACACTTTTTCAACTGATATATATATCATGAAAATTTCTCACAGGGCACTTCAAACAATTTAATATAATAAGCATGCTAATCCAATCATTTTCTCACAATGCAGCCATTCATGCATCGATGCACTTTCCATTTCGTACCTGTTTCGTAAAACATAACGGTATGGCATAGAGGCGCTAATTTCGCTAATCAATTTTGAATCATTTCGAGCCAAACTTCAATCCGCACATTGTTTAAAAATCAAAATCAGACGGCTTCACGTGAGCAACTTCATACAAAAATTTGAGTTAAATCAAACGGAAAGATAATATGGTGATTGCGGATTTATTCCAAACTCACAGTGGTATTCAGAAAAAAGTTTGTTTTCATATCCATCCAAGAGAACAAATTAAAGTAGGCATTATACTTCAATATATTTATGTTCTTCCTTTACTTGGTTGAAAATAAGCTCAACATAATGCAAGTAATAACATTTCAAAAATAATTTCAGGTTGTCTTTAATTTAGGTCAGTCGCCACAGCTAATGGAAAATAGGGGTGATTTACTTATATATTTATATCTTTTCTTTACTTCCACTAAAAATGCAAAATGAAAACGGAAGTATTAAAACTTTCTCTCTGATTATTTTTTTTTCCGGTCCATTGATACAATGTATTCAAAGTGAATATATCGTTTCACATGTCTTTATAAATCTTATATTTTTCTACCTTTAGTTCAATATCAAACATATAATGTAAGTATAAAAATATTTTATAAATAGCTATTTCTTTTTTTTCCATTTAGATTAGTCGAAACTATACATGGGAAAGAGCTATGAAGATCGATTTCTGACATATGGGACAACCCAGTCAGACAAGCGCCTTAAAAAAAAGCGTTACAGCGAATACATATTTTGACGCTTTCATGTTGTAAGACGTTAAAACATCTTAAATTTCTTAAAAACGCCGTATTAAATCTTTTTAAAATTCTTTTTGAGGAAATATATTTCTAAAACAAATCTTTCCTAATTTACTTAAATATTTAAAAAAACAATTTTTATTTCCAAAGAAATAATTTTTTGAATATTTAAAAAAATAATTTTTATTTCCAAAGAAATAATTTTTTGAATATTTAAAAAAATAATTTTTATTTCCAAAGAAATAATTTTTTAAATACAAAATATTTGAATTTTTTTCATGAAAATTAAAAATGTAACAACAATTGTTCCGCTTAACTTTATATCATCTTCAGTTTCCTATAAAATTTTGTTTGATTTAAGTAGCATTTCTTACTTCATCTTGATATCATACGACTGACCGAATGGATAACATCTTGGACTATCAACCAATTCATCTCATGATCGAACCTAGGACAACGCAGTAAGTTCCAAAACCTTAATTTTAATCTGGTAGATATAAGTAATAAACCTTTTTGGGGTATGGGACAAAAGTAATAAACTCTTTGGAAGGGTTTATGAAAGCGTATATAAAAATCAAATGCCCTCTCATAAACCCTTATAAGGGTTTATGAAAGTGCAACGTAGACTAAACCCTTTCATATACCCTTAGAAGGGTTTATGAAAGGGTTTATGAAAATTTTGACATACGGTAAAAAGGGTTTAGTCTACATTGCACTTTCATAAACCCTTAAAGGGTTTATTATTCTACCTTTTTTCTGTTACAGTGCAGACGACGACAATGCTTCCGCTCTCAATTACTCAGATACGAACAACAGCGAAGATGATCTATCCTGATGAAAATAAGTTTGAAGATAACTTCACGTATTTGTATTTTCATGCAACCGTTTACTAAATTAACACGACTCTCTGCATTGTTCAGGCAGCCCAGCGTCAAGACTGCTGCCACTTTGATCTTTAACAATTAATAATTCGGAGTCCCAGCGAACTTGCCGAAAAAGTATATAAATATCATGTATCTTCAACCTGAAAATAGTACCAATTTGTAGAGCTTTTCGAGCTCTATCGATTGAGATAGTTTTTCAAGTTTTAGAAAACTATTTTTTTAGGGATAGTAGGCAATTTCTCTATATAAGTGCCCTACTAAGTCACGCTGTATATTTGATCTATAGAATGTTTATAAAACCCTTTATTTTCTAAGTAGAAATAATCGGCGCATTCGTTTTGGTAGTTTCGTGTATTTTTTCAATATCTTCAAGGACAAAAATTAAATAGGCCGATTTGGCTTCTTATGCGCCCCCTCCTTTATTTCAAAAAAAAACGAAAATATTGATCTGTTTTTATTCTATTACTTATGATCGTTTTCTTTTATTACAGTTAAATGTTTATCTGGAGCATACTTCTACTAAAGTGATATGCTTGCTACATTGTGATATCACAAAATTTGGGTATAAATATGGATGCGTGGATTCATCTCACATAAACACCTACCCCAATCCACACACACACACCCATCATGATCAACTCCATCAATAGCTTTATTACTACTTAGATTACTTCCAAACATCGTAAAGTTACTTTATTTTTCTCATTCTTCACATTTTCTTCAATAAAACGTTGGAGTGAATAGAACTAATATCTAATAATTGTTAAACACAAAGCTTCTATATCTATACTGTTTTATTCGATCAATAATTCTGGTAATGTGAAAAAAAAATTTTAAATGATAAGAAAATGTAATTAATAATAAAGACTGTTTTGTAGTTTAGGAAATTTCAGAAAATGAACTCTTCAATACAGGACATTAATGGGTTGGATACGCAGTGGCATGTGCAGTTTCATCAACACGATAGATCTGTTCTTCAACGACACCTGATCCTGATGGAAGACCACCGACACTAAATGTAACCTTCGCAAATGTACCATCGGGTAAGCCAATCTGAATATTGAAAATAAAAAATAATATTGTTACTCTTCAGAATATATTTGTTTGACTTACCATAAAATCGTATATCATAGCACATGCCTCCATCTTACGAAGTGTCACTGGTTTTAATTGGAAATCAGCTGGAATCGATGGAAATGTTTCACGTACATTTTGTTCAATACCGTGAGCATTCTGTAATCAAGGAAGAAAGGCTATACGCTTAAGTAAAAATAGAAGAAATAAAATATGACTTACTTCTCTATAAAGTTCTAAATCTTCACCAGTTACGGGATGAAAGTTAAATTCCATCTTTGTACGAATTTGCCAAAAAAGTTTAATGTTAATAAAACTGACGGTAAATATCTCTATGAATAAAAGCAGAGAGAAAACTAACGTTTATATATTATTCGGTTTACACTACACAGTCAAGTATGCTCGCTTATTATTTTTTTGATTCTATAAAAGTAAAAATGTAATATTTATATAACATTCCACACCTGCACACCCTTGACACTTTTTAATTTTTGATGGGTATGATTGGTCACCATACTAATAAGCACATAACTGATTAACAGGACCAATCAATTCTATGTTTTTCTATGGATGTAATACAACACAGCTTTTTTTTGCTACGCATCTTAATCATGCACAATCACATAGAAAATGTTATGAATCAAAATAACATAGTCAGTATACAATTTCAGTCAGAAATTTACAGCTATAATTTGCGTGCAATTATATTTTCGTTCTTATGATAAGCGATTTAATAAACCGTAAATTAATAATGATGATTGGTAGACCTTCACAATTTTTACGAAGTCAAAAGATAAGAACAAATCATTTTTCTTCAAAAGAAAAATCGAAATGCACACAGTTTTCATTACAGTTTTTGTTAAATTCTGAATACACGTATTTATTTATCTTTCTACCACCAGTTAGCTATGCTGGTGTCTATGTTCTGTGAGCTTTATTCACCAAAAAAAGGACACGAGAACCATTTTTCGTAGTTGATCGAGCCCGTGCGCACAAACGGGGAGAGAAGCTGAACGAACAGAAAACAAACAGGCATGTAACATATCTTATTACCCTCGTCCCAGAAGAACACGAAAGAATACAAGCATGCATAAACAATGTAAGAAGGAATGGAACGAAAAAGAAAGTGAGGAGTCGCTAACANTGGATTTTAGCCCAGGAATATCCAAATGAGCTGAAACTTTCAGGATGTGTTGGCGCTAGAAAGGGAAGGCTACCATAAAAATTTCAACCAGAAATCTTTAGGTTTCAAGGAGACATGAGTCAAACAAGGATAAAAAATGACTAATTTCGCATCCCAAACTGCTCGGTGCTGGTTCGTTCAATATATTATTTTTTTGGTTGGAAAGAGCATCTCAAGACGCAGGGCATGACGTTGTTCTTTTTTTTTAAATAGCCCATTTTTAAGTGAAAAAAATCAATCGCAAGTTCAATGACTCAAAAAAGTGCCAAAAAATGGTAGAAAAATCATATAACTGGCTGTATATTGACCAAGCTAAGGGCTAATTTTAAAAAATGGCAATGTAAAGCCCTCCGCCTCGAGATGCTCTTTCAAATAAACAAAAAATGTTAATACATTGAATGGATCGGGAAGGAGAGGTTTAGAATGCCAAAATCAGTTATTTTTAACCATTGTTTGGTCCACATCTCCCTTAAACCTACCGATTTGGGACTGAAAATTTTATCACAGTCTCTTCACTATAACCCCAACACATCCTTCTAATTTCAGCCCATTTAAATATTCCTAAAGCAGAAATCTCAATTTTCGATTTTCCAAAGAAAATTGACTTTTTTTGAGTGGGGGAGCCTTATTGAAAATTACACATACTCGTGATTGCAATGTCGAATTTTTAGCTAAAGCCATAAAAATAATCATTTTTCAGTGAAAAATTGGGTATGAATAAAAATGAGCGAAAATGACAGAGGAAGAGAATAAGTCGATGTGAGAAGGAACGTAAAGCAGACGGCGAAAAGAAAACAGCGAAAAATAAAATGTCGATCATATAAGAATGTCGAAATATTCTAGATGTCCTTAAATAACAGTGATTCTAGTGCAATATACCTAATGTGCGTTTAGTGGCTAATAAATTGTCGTTTTGCAGAGCGAACGAAAACAGTAACAAATTTCTAGATGAAAATAAAGTGAAGAACGCTAAATAAATATATAAATACGAAGTCTTGCGTTATCTTCCCATTGCATATCGTAACCTATTTGTAGTATCTATATTTATGACGTCCACTGCTAACAGTTTGTCTTTTCTTGTATCAAGTAAAGGTAAAGTTTTGTTGGTGTTGAATGATTTCGTGTATCGATTAAAAAAAAACAAAAGATAAAAGATATTGGATTTGCCAAGAGAGTGTACGTACAGCTTATGTACATACAAATATTGATAATATTTTCAAAAAGTCAAGTGGTGATCATAATCATTTATGTGAACCAGAAGTTGTAAAAGTAAAACAATTTCGAAGTAAGCTGAAGAATCGAGATGTACAAGAAACAACAGCCATTGGAAAAATATATGAAGAAGAAATAATAAAATCTCGTCTTTCAACAAGAACATTAGCAACACTACCGCTAGTTCAAGAATTACGTACGTTTCTATGCTTCAATATGTGTTTTTCATTGCATTTAGTTTGTCGATTTTCAGAGCCCGGTTTATTATGTGCACGACGTCAATTAACACCTGTTTTATCTTCTTCATCATCATTTGAAATTCCTGATTCTTATCAAGTTACATTGACAAAAGAAATCTTAATTTATTTTCTGATACATTAGTTGGTCGCAGAAAAAGAATGTTATTGTTTGGAAGCATTACTCAATTGGAAATGTTGTTCGATTGTACAACTATTTTTATGGATGGAGCATTTTCATGTACGCCACCATTTTTCGATCAAGTCTTCACCATACATGCGCTGAAGTTTGAAACGAGTGACATAATGTTTTTTTGTTTAATATATACATTTCAGTGTTTTTTCTACGTAGGCTTTCCATGTGTATTTGGAATTCTTCCGGATCGAAAGAGAATCACTTACCAAGAATTGTTCAAGATCTTAAAAGATTTTGCTATATCCATTAATCGTAAATTTGAACCAACTCGTATATTAAGTGATTTCGAGTCAGGTCTTATTTCAGCTATTGCTAATGAAGTATTCATTTTTATCATTCTTAAATTATTTGAATAATTGTTCATTTTATTTTAGTTTTCAGCAGCCGTACACAATGGCTGTTTTTTTCATTACACACAAGCTATTTTTCGTCGTATACGAGCTTTAGGATTAACTACTTTGTATTTTCAAAATAGTGAAATACGTTCATGTTGTCGTAAATTAATGGCATTAGCGTTGCTTCCCATTGATAAAATTGAATCTTCTTTTCATAGTCTACGTGTAAAATCATCTACTATGGTGAACCAAGAATTGCACCAGTTGTTTCTTTATTTCAATCATCAATGGCTTGTTAATGTTCCGCTTAAAATATGGAATGTCTATGGGTGTCATCATAGAACAAACAATAATTGTGAAGGTATATAAGTTTCATTTTTTTTCAATATGTTGTTTCTATCTAGTATTTTAGGCTTTCACAATAGGCTAAATCAAAGGATTCAAAAATCACACCCGAATATTTGGATGTTCATTAAGCTCTTGCAAACTGAAGAATGTAGATTTCGTCATCTACTTCTTCAAATGAATGCTGGTGCTCAAGCGCGAAAAAAGGTCCCTGTAGCGAATATGATACAAAAACGTATTGATACATTGTATGATAGATACAATGGTGACGAAATGGACGTTGATCAGTTACTTGATGGTTTGTCGCTTACTATAGCGAAACAAAAGAGACAATAATTAAAAATAATCATATTATTAGTTCTCCACTATTTTTTGTGTTGTTATTTCTTGTCTATTGATATATACTACTTCTTGATAACAATAAAAAAAATGTCCATTAGCTGATCGTTAACGATGAATTTTGTTTTCATATTATCATAGAATCGACATTTCTTGTTTCGCTATTTCTTTTCCGCTAATTCTCATTCGTCATTTTCTTTTTCGCTGTCTATTTTCGCTTGCTTTTCTTTGCTAGTTTATCTTTCGCTAATTGATGTTTCGCTCATTTTTATGCCAATCAAAAATTGTACTTACATTCTATTTTGAATTTAAAATTGGCTAAAAGAAAAGAAAAAGAAGAATTCCGATACAAAAATTTTACTTGAATAGAATCTTCACTTCTATATTGAACTAAAACATTAAAAGCAATAATTGTAGGGAAAACATTGTACCTACTTAGAATGGTCAATTTCTAATAGAGCTTAATGGATAAAACAATAATTAAAATACAAAAATTGTACTTACCTACAATTTTCAATTTTCTTTTGTATCCAACCAAACGACTGAAAAAACAATAAGCATCTATAAATAATAATGCTTGCATTTGATCGGATCGATTGGGAAAAGCTAAATCAAAAGCGGTTCACTCAAAAAAAGTAATAGTTGGATACACTGTTTTAACTCACTGATGAGATTCTTCAAGATTTATGAATAAATACTTTTGTGTTTTTTTATAGAAGTCTCACCTACGTAGAACATAGTTTCATTTTGTGTTTCAGGCTGGTTTAATTAATGGAGAATGATAATCTTTTAATGTGAGACTACAAACTATTGCAACATAGAGAGAACTAAAGCTATTCTGCTTTTCATTAATGGTTGTTTCTATTGTACGATTTCAAATTTAATCCCAAGAATACTTGATGAATAAGTGTGATCAACCAGAAAAATTAACATCATTTTGATACATATATGTAAAACCTGTCTGATTTCAACTTTTAGCGGAAAAAATTGTTCTATGAAACGGTACAATAATAAACCCTTAACCGTAGAATAAGAAACCCTTTAATGGAAGAGTATAATAATAAGCCCTTCACCGTTGCATAAGAAACCCTTCATCGTAGATTCACAAACCCTACCCGTTAACTTCTGGTGCAATAAACCCTTTATATTTTCAAATACCCTTGGTTTCATAAATGCTCCAGGCAATAAACGGTTTTAGAGTTTCGGACAAAATCATAAACCGTTAAAGGGCTTAGTATTCTGTGATTTTTTTTTACAGTGTAGGGTGACACCATATTTATGCGTGTGCTTTTGATAGAAACTAGTGACTTAGTTAAAAGTTACTTTCGTATAATTTCCTAAACGATAGCTCTCCATTCTCATGCCGAATCTCTGATAAGATCTTGAAAACAAAATTGACTAATCATCAATCGCATAACGGTTCTTTCCTATGATACATAATGTTCACAATGTTGTGACGCTATTCAAGCAAGATTTCTCACTCTGTTTGGAAAACGGAATATAGGGTCTTGTAGAGCACGTTTCGCTCTACAAAACCTAATATTTCAGATTCCAGCAGAACGTAGCCATTTTGAAAAAAAAGGCGCCCAAGTTTTGAGCGTATTCACTTGAGAAAAATATTTAAAATGCAATTAAGGATCTAGAAAGTATACCATTGTGTAGAACTAATCGAGCTGAGTACTTTGGTATACTTTTTGTGAAAGAAAAGTCTAAAATAGATACATTAGAGCCAAAATACTGAAAAATTTAAGGTTTTTTTCGTAAAAAAACGATTTTAGTATTTTTGTTATAAAATGTTTTTACTGTCAATGTGTTTTTATAGCAAAATGATCAGTGAAACGAGCTCTAAAAAACTAGGTGAAAAGGGAGAAAATTTATATACCTTGTTTTTGTAGTTGAGTTCCCATGGAACTAACCAGCTATATTTTAATTAATTTAATTGACTTTTTAGTTTTGGGATGTCATTTATATATTTCTTTTGCGTTTTACGATAAGTTTAATTCTTCTAAGTTCAGATGTTAAAGCCTAATTTACCGTAACATTTTGACAACGATCTTGCCTTCTTTAGGCATAAATTTTATCTTACTTATTGATGCACACACACTCTATCTCGCTCGCATATACTTACACACAGTACACTGTAAAAAAAAACCGTAGGATAATAAACGAAAAAAGGGTTTATGAAAGTGCAACGTGTCGCAAACCCTCTTCAACCGTTTATCAACGAGTCATAAACCCTGTTATAAACCCTCTAAAAAGGGTTTAGTACGGAGTTAATTATCGTTAAATATTTTTTCTCGAAGGTTTATTGAA